CGTAGTCGACTGCAATGCCAAGCTTCTTCAGCAGCGGTCTGCCAAAGAGGATCGGGGCCGTGCCATCGATGAGGTAGGTCAGGACCTTCACCTTCTTACCCCCGAGAACGGCCGGCAGGAGGATGCATGTATTCGCCCGCTCCGTCTCGGAGTTGCCATAGCGGAAGTCCTTGGCACAGAAAAAGGTCTCGATGGTGCTGAGGTCGTAGCCTTGCTCCAGGAGGTAGAGGAGGTAGCGGCGCACACTATGGAAGCTTCCAAGAACAGAGGACGCTCCTCCATCCTGGGTTGCGTGGTTCACTGGCTCCTCCTCGTTGGTGTCGTCCTGGTCCATGGCATAGATCTCGGTCACCATCAGCACCTCGTCGCCGTCGCCATCGCCAATCCTGCGCTTCTTGGGGTCGCTGTTGCCATTGGGGCAGTTTCGGGCCCAGTGCCCCGATTGCCCGCATCGTAAGCATACTTGGCGGCCCCCAATTGCAGCTTGGCCTCGTTGCTTGGCGGTGCTCCCCTTTGGGAGCTGCTTGTCCTTGCCCTTCTTCTTGCCCTTTGGCTTTCCACCACGGCTCTTGCCTCCAGTCTTGCCTGGGGACAGCGAGCGTCCAGCACCTTTGTCCACCAGGGCCACGACAGGAAAGAAGCCCCGGCTGGTGCGCATGGCGTTCAGCTTGGCCTTCGCGTCGGCATAGCTCGTGTAGATCTCGTCGAACTCCTCCACATCGAAGACCTCGGTGTCGTGCTCCTGGGTCCAGCCGTCGTCGTAGTAGTCCTGTCCTTGGTCGGGCCACGGGGCTTCTGTGTCTGTACCACCAGCGTCGTTGTAGTAGATGGTGTCCTCGGTGAAGTCGTTGTCCCAGCCACCATCATTCTCGTAGTAGACGTCCTCGTCTTGGTAGTACAGGTCAGCCTTGCCGCGTGGTCGGTGCTCCATCTTTGAGTCCTGGCCGAGGATAAAGTACATAGCCTTCTGTGTCGCCTCCATGGTCAGGTTCTCCGAGCCCACGTTGGTCAGGATGAGTTGCCGCTGCTCCCGGGATATTCCGGACTTCCGCAGGAACCACCAGGCTCTCACCTTCTCGGGCAGCTCCACCTGGTGGGTCACGCGCAGTTGCCGTTCAGCTCGTGCATAGTTCGAGGCATAGTCCTGTAGGGTCTCGCCCGGGGCACGGTGCAACCGGACAAAGTAGTGCTCGAAATCCTCCGGCAGCTCGGTCAAGGCATCAAACTTGAAGCCACGGTCCAGTCTCTCGAAGACGCGGTTGTAGCCTTGCTCCCCTTGAAGCACATCCATACCGATGTCGTCGATGAGGTCCCAGGCCTTGCCGGTGAGGAGCGTCACGATATTGAATATCGTCTCCTGGCTCCGGTTGGCAATCTCCATCTTCTTTTTGTAAACCTCACATCGCTTTCGGAACTCCTTGTAGTGGCGCTGCTGGTTGTCAAAGGTCGGGACGAACTGATCGGCCTTGCCGGTCAGGTAGGACGCCTCGCCCCCATTCGCCGGTGAGCTTGGGCCAGCATTGCCACTTCCTTTTCCACCGCCGCCCATGGCAGCACAGCAACGGAGCCCCCGGCGTTCTCGCCAGAAGCTCCGCTACCAACTTCAAGAGTTGGCAAACTCACTGGGCTCTGCACACGAAGTCAAAACCCTTTTCACAGATACTTTCTCACACTTCCGCAGCGGTAATGGCCTGCAGCCCTCCCTTGAGTCCGAACAGCCGCGACACATCGTGACGCGTCTGCAGCTCTCCAAAGTCCTGGCAGGATTCAGATCTTGACATATTATAACTGATGGAATTCTAATTTCTGTTTATGTCTTATTTTTTGCAATTTTCTAACGCGATAGAGATCGTAGATTAGCGAATTTATTGAAATTTGTTTATCGATCGTATATCTATTATCGAGGACGTTATGGATCGTGACGGGATCGTGGGTCGTTTCGAAATACTAGGAGATTGCCATGATACGTTATAAGCACGCTACGGACCTCGCCCCCCCCCCTTACCGAACGCGTCTTGAGACCTCAGTCGGATGCGCTTTTAATATTTGCACTTAAAGAATCTTATTTTCGTTTTTTATACTTACACCGACAAATATCACGAGAAATATCGTACGAAATTTTTTTTTTTAATATTCAATATCCTGTCGCTCATTCATTATTTTTCTATATTAGCAAATTCCCTATACCTTAGATCTTAATGCTTAAACAATCAATAACAAAAATCAAAAACCAAAATAAATCAAAAGAAACCTAAAACACCAAATAATCCAAAAGCACCGAAACAACCAATTCCACACTAATCTAAAAGATTCCGACTCGTGGGAAAATATTAATATATATTTTTTTTGAATCTAGTTAAAACAATTTTTCTATTTTTATAAATCTTACTTTTCCTTATATATAATATCCTTCTATATATAAATACTTCGAGACCGCATAAGTAGAATCTAATCCAATAGACGCGCGCGCGCCGAAATAGAGAATACCAAGACCAACCCCAATTTCACAAATATTCTTGCGTTGCAAATTTCTTAATATTTTAGGTTTTTCTATATAAGAAATCAATCATATATACACTCTTTTCCTTTTTCATACATATAAATTGGTGCAAGAAAAATTAATATTATATAGAAAACTATATAAATAAATTTCTTTATAATATTCAATATAGATTTAAAATAAATATATATATATATGTCATAATTATATATATATATATTTTCATATAATACCTTTTTCTTTTCGATTTATTTATTTATTTATCGATCAAAAAAATTATAGACGATATAACTACATATTTTTATATATTTTATAAAAACCGTAAATCATACTAATCTTTTAAAAATTAAAACTTTCTAAAACCTCAATTATATATTTGTACTTTTCATTATCGAGTCAAAGAAAAATAATTTTAAATCTAAAGGGCTTAGAACCTATATTTATACGAAATCGATAATCAATTATACGCTTACTAAGAATTAAGAATCTATATTCAGACAAAATCTATAAATTATACACTGTATATATACAAGATATCGGTCCTTTCTGTGTCTCCCAATCGTCATGCCAGCAATACACCACCCAACCATTGCGACCCCTCTCAGCTTCCACAACCCCCACCCATATCAGACCATGGGGGGGAAAGGCTAAGAACAGACGCCTAACCCTACATTAAAAATGGAAGTGAGCCGTCAAAGCGAGCCCTCGAACCCTAAAGCAAACGCTTTCGGCAATCACACAAATATCAATACATATTTTCATTGAATAAAATCCTCAAGAAGATCTTCATCCCAAATAGCTCGGAGCAGCAACGACGCTTTTTCAATCTTCCGAACAATCATACCTCATCATTATTTCTATGTATGACACTCGCCGTCTCTTAATTCCATTGCGTTTGGGTGCAATTGACACACCGCCGCCACAGCCACAGGCATGCAGGCACGCAGCAACGCACACGCTCGCTTTGACAAAAAACAGAAATTGCCTAAAATGATTCGACTCCTCCCGAATTTCGCCGTTCGATATCCTTCAACTGCTATGGGGCCGTGCTTTGTTCTAAACATCTCATGCAAAAAATTGAACAATCTCGCGGCAGATATCGTACATCATACACAGACACAACGTAATATTTCTTGCTCAGTCTTGCAGTGACATGCCGAAAGGAAGTCCAGCAAAGACCGCTGGCTCAGGGAGGTAGGAGTTGAAATGGGAATGCGAAGGAGGAGCGATCTGCAACTGACTCTAGGTCAGTTGCATGTTGCCCCAATTCTGCAAAGCTCATAATCTTGCAAATGCCGTGCTGCTCTCAAACACCTTGACATGTCAAGCACTGACCTCTCGCTTCTTGAACTGTCGAGTGCCCGCCTGTTCGGCGGGCTGTACGGACTGGGTGTGCTAAGTCTTGCCTCACCACCACGAATACTAGTGAAGTCTGAGATTTGAACAGAGTCCGAACAGAACAGTGGCCTCCAAGCGCCGCTGTCGCTGTTGGGCTTCCTGTAGCAGAGCCTGCAAGGGCACAGGCTGCGAATCGCCATGCCAATCGCAGCACAAACAGCTGGAATAGAAAGCGTCCGGAGCGTCTAAAGGTGAACCTGCGATGTGGAAGTCCATGCCCCAAGCAGAAGCTGAGCTGTGCAGCAAGATGGAGGGGAAGTGCTCAGCATGAGTGTTTCGCAGAGCAGAGAAACCAACACATTGATCAAAGAGAGAGATCAATGAGCAAGGAGCTTTAGTTTGGAGGCAGCTAAACTGGTCAGAGTGAGGACCAGTGTGGATGGACTGAGGAAGACATTGAGTGCAGGATGAGCGACGGCACGGGTGAACACGTCCATGAGTAGGTGGGTGGGTCATCAATGTGAGGAGTGAAGGGAAGAGGTGGGCTGACAGAATGCCATGATCAAGTGCACGATCAAGCAATCCGGAAGTAGTGCCACACACCGAGCAAAGCGAGGGCAAGTGAGAGAGAGTCGCTGGAGCGAGTAGGCGAATCCTCGGTCAGAGAGTCGCCGGGCCGAGCAAGCGCATGTAAGTCAAAGTAATTCTGAATGCATCACGAAGTCAAGGAGGGACTGGAACTAGCGAAGGTGCGCTCAGCGAGGTGAGTGATGGAGGGAGGGTTTGATTGAGCGAGTGGAATGCATCAGTGAGGCAGGAAGGGGAAGGGGGTGTGAGTCAGGGAAGTATGCGAAGGAGTGATTGACGAGCGAGTGATCCAACCGGAGCAAAGAGCTGGGCGAGTTCTTGCAGTGGAGAGTGATCCAATGGGTGTGGACAGAAACCATGACCCGAGCCTGCGTGGCCGCATGTCTTAGCATGTGCACTCAACTGATGCACCGAGCTGAACCTGCCCCGACGTCGCCATGAACGTCTAAGGCTTCTCCGGCAAATCATTCGACTCATTCCAAACCCGCCCTCTCCCATGAAGCTTTGAATGTTGTCAACATCCGGCTTACTGCTGCACAAGGCTACACCCAAGATCCGTGCAACTAAATGTCAATCAGCAGAGCGAAAGGAGCCACAGCGAAATGGCCTGAATCTTCTGCGCTTCCTGCATGAGGTTTGGCTGACTCGGCCTGTGACCATTCATCAATCACCATACTCCTCTTCGCTGCAGGTCCTCCTCATGACTCTGTGGAGGCAAGGCCTTCTCGAAGAGGGAGTTCTATGAAAAGAGGAGTGAGGCAGCGTGGTGCTGGATGTAGAGGTTCCACCGCCTCGGTCTTCAGCGAAATGGAAGAGCGATGCTAAGGACTTTGCCTGAGAAAGCAACTGGCTGGAGAGCTCACCTTCAGGTCCAGAACTTGCACTCCAAGGTCCTGAACTCAAGACAGCCAGGACCTTCGCGACCTTCCGTCTGGGCGTCTGTGGTGTGGAGCACCTGACAGACCTGCCATTGAGGCAGGTGCTCATCCCTGGACAACACACCGAATTCCCGGCACCTCTCTGTACCGAAGGGGCCGGCTCCCGCAGCCTCTGCTACGATGCGATGTGCTTTTGCCTTCTTCCGTCGAAAAAAAGCGGGGGGCCCCGGCCTGAGCCTGTCTCAGGGCGGTTTGCCTCTGAGAAGCGCTTTCGGGAATCAAAGGGCCCTCGCTCCACTGCAGCACCTGACGGCAGTTTTGTCGTGGCCTTTTGCAGAGCTTTTCCTACTTTGCCTGCTTTGTCCCTCAGTGAAAACGTCGCCCGTAATGAAATCCCTCCCGCCTGTTCTTCGCTCACCCAAGCGCCCCTTTGCTCAGCACCTAACTGCACGTCACCGGGGCGGAGCTCTCCGTTGCAAGGCAATGTGCAGATTTTTCCGTGGATGAGTGCTGCACCTTTCCGACCCTCGAAGAAGTTCACCCAATAGGGCCTGTAAAGCGGGACAAAACATGCAGGACTGCAGGGACGTCGCTTACGCGCCTGGGGTCGTCAGGCTTCGTGAAGTCAAGCTTCAGGACGACGCAGGGCCAGAGCACCGAGGTCGCCTTCGAAGGGCTAGAGAGAGTGAGAGAGTGAGAGTGAGAGGGAGAGAGAGAGAGAGAGAGAGCGAAGTACGCAGAACACGCGGAACTCGAGTCCTTTAGGCGCGCCCATGCAAAGTCACCAGGTCGAAGGCGCAGCGCACGGTGTTGTGCAAGAGCTTCGGTACAGTGTGAGCAATACCTCACTGCCGGAACACTCTCGGGCAGTCCTTTTCGACGCAGTGGCTTCGAGATTCTCAGTTCCATGCCACTTCTCGTTGGGAAGTCCCGGACGTGTCACTTGGGGATCGTGGCAGTTCATGTGGAAGGTCTGTACCAGGGCGTTCACACCATCTTCTATCTCGTTTTTGCTCGATTTCCGAGCCTTGTCACAGCCATCGCAGCGGATAAGACTTCCAAGTTTCCCTGTTCGAAGACAGCAAACTCGGCTCAATTTGCTCGCAGTTTAGGCGGTTGCAATTTCTGCCCTATGGCTTTCGCCTGACGGCCCGCCGTCGCAAACGGAGCATCGCCAACCCCCCGTCCTGAGAGGAAGAAGGAGCGCCTGATCATTCGGAATGGCTGCGGGGTCCCAGGTCTCGGCCTTCTGTTGCTCTGCTCTTCGGCCATGGCGCGACCTCCAAGAGTATAGAACAAAGCATGGCCCTTGCTTGGATCGTGGCTTCAAGTGCTCAGCTTTTTCTCCTGGCCACGGGGGGGCGGCGGGGCCTCCTTGGCCAATCCTGCCTACAGCTACATAGCAGCTATATACATGGACCTACATGACACTCGGATCGCAGACAACGTCCGTGCTCACAGGGCCATTCGGCCACCTCGCCAGGACGTGGTGCCTACAGTAGGAGTTTTGTGACAGGTCCCACGCCATTCATCCTACGACCACAAGAAAGCCAATGTCTGGCCTGTGAAAGCTTCGAATCACCTTCAGCCATGCTCCAAGTTTAAGAGAAATTTTCCGCAACCTGCAATCTGTGGCATTGAGGCGGGGGCAGTTATCTGCGCATCCGATTTCGATTTCTGATGCACTTGCGCCTCCCGTGATCGCCGAGGGCATGCTGCATGCCATGCAAAGGCCGGGGTTGTGAGCTGCAGGCGTCGTCTCCGTCTGCCACTCCATCGCTTTGCGATGCCTGAGACTGCGGAAAGGTCTTTGACAAAAACCAGGCGCGCTCAACTGCCCCTGTATTGATTTTGGGGGTATGGCTCCGGATTCTCGGAAGGCAAGCGCCGGCTGAAGTATGAATAGTGAGTCTCCTGCATGGGCATGTTATTTGCACTCGCCGAGCCGAAACCGGGGCCTTTTCGGGCCTGTGGTGAGCGGGGCGAATCCTCGGTGTGCACTAGGGCCACTAGGGTGTGTCGGAAGATTTGCCTGCTCCAACCAAGCACTGTAAAGGCTCCAGCTCGTTGGAAAATCGAGGGAAAGTCGTTGATACTAATCGGCCGAGGCTGCTTCGCCTGGCAAAAAGGACGAAGCATGCAGTTTGTCTGGAGGCTCGTTGCCCGCAGCCTTCAAAAGCTCTCTCGGGGTCACGGGTCTGTGCAGCCACCTGGACCACCGAATCCTTTGGTGCGCACTGCAGAAGGTCGGAGGTCCGTGGCCTCTGCCGTGCAGCAGCCGCCGCTGCAGCAGCAGCGACTGCCTCAAGAAGAAGTGCAAGGCAAGCACAAGAACTCCTGGTGAGGTCCCAGAGTCCCACCTCCTCGTCCTCGTCACTGTCCTCGCCTGCGTAAAGGAAGTGTTTTGAATTCCAGTGCTTCCCTTTCTTCCTGGCCTGGCCTCCTCCTCCTCCTCCTCCTGCCATGCCTCCAAGGGCAGGAGTTGCCTCGAGCTCCTCCAGCATTTCCTCCTCAGAGCCGCCGTTCTCATCGCTCCCTTCGACCTGGCGCAGAAACGTGCAGAAGCGAGCAAAAACTCAGTGAGCTCCCGTCTCTGCCGTCCCCCTGGCGTCGCCTGGGCCATGAGGCTGTGGACTGCATGCCCATCCTGGGCTCTCGGAATCGGTGTGGCTGGATTTTCAAGAAAAGGGCGGCGTGGCTTCTGGTAGCTGCGGTAGCTCCGGTCTGAGGCTGAAGGCCATGCCAAAGAAGGAAGCGACTTTCCGGAGCTCCTGAGAGGTAGCAGAGGGCGGCACACTTCTCTTTTTGCACCGGTTCCCTTCTTTTTTTCGCTTTTTTGGGGCCCCTGCTTTGGCGTCTCTCTCTGCGCTGCTGTCCTCGAGCCTTCAGCAGCTGTGGCACAAGACTATGGCGCTCCCCATGCCCGTCTGTATTCCTGACGAGACAGAAGGCGACCTCCTAACGCGAAGGGCCAGGAGGCTGCTGGGCCGGGGAGATCTAGAAGCCCTTTATGTTGCACGTCGCATGCGGCCCCGAAAACCGCCGTCTGCAGGTCTGAAGCTAAACACGTCCCAGGCCTGCACAACCCCCACCCACACGTCACTTGCACCCCAGATCGCCTGTGTGGGTTTAGAGCCTGCCGACCGCCCTCATACACTACACAACTTACCCAATTGCACATGCCTGGGAACCCAGGCATCACCGCCTAATCCTTGAGCATGCCATACCATACCGGTTACCAGGATGAAGAATGAAGAACAGCTCCTTGCCCAAGCAAACTACCAGATCATGTCATCGATTTTCTGTCATACGCCCTGGATGTCAAATGCTCGTTAACTCTCCACAAAGCGCGTTGTGCTGTATAAATCTTGGATGATCTCGGTGCAAGTACAAGCGCTGAAACCAGCTCTCTTCGCTGCCTGATGGCATCCAGGCTGAGAAGCTGACGGGATGCCTCGAGACTCAAACTCCTTGGAGAAGTCCACCTTGCGAACTCCAGGAACTCGACTCCGCTGCGTGGGCTTCCAGACTCCCTATGCCTTCAGCAGCTTCGCTGCGCCGTTCTTGCGCTTGGGAGACGACATGGCTGCAGACTGCCTGTGCGAGGAAGCCTCGCATTCCTTATTGAAAGCTCGCCTTGCTGTGGGCACTTATGGCTCCTATGGCTTCGTGATGCATTGCACTGGGGCGGCCGCAGGCCTGCAAATTCTGTCCTACCCAGGGCTCTGCTTTTCCTGTTACCCTTCTTGAGCCATGCAGCTTTCCTCGGAGGCAGTTGGGGTAGCTGGGTGCGTGTCTTTGCGTGCTGGTGAAGACTGGCGTGCCTCGCTTTGGTCGCGAGGCCTGGCGCGTGAGATCTTGCAATGGCTTCATTATCTTTGCTGGTCGGGTAACTAACTGGTTCCAACCTTGCCTCATCGTTAGATGCAGCCGCTCGCCTGAAGATCAAATCCGCCCCAGCTGCTCTCCCTCAGTCCCTTCTTATGTCCGCCTCTTCTGCGCTGCTGCGCGAGGCAACCCTTCGTCTGCGCCCGGAGCCTGGCCCGCAGTATCTGCGATGCTTGCCCGTCGCACACAGAGATCATCGACGTCGCAGAGTTTTTCCATGGCCTGGACGGAGTCCGATTTCCTTAGTCAACACAGCAGAAAAAACAGCTCCACGCGCACCCTGGGGCCGCAGGCTGGGGCACAGGCCGCGCCGCTCGGCGAGCTCGGCGGGCTCTGGTGACCACTCCGGTGATCTCGCGGCGCCCACGTTCCACAGGTTCCACACGTGCACCGCCGTCGCGCTCAGCTCCAGGTGGCTCCGGCGCCTGGAAGAGGCGGGCCTTGGGCAGCAGGGCTTCTTCAAAAATCGGGGGCATCTGCAAAGCTGTGTAATCTGCTCGCTGCGCAGGGGTCCGCACCAAACGAACTGCGGCAGTCTCTTGTGCGTTGGATCGGGCTGCTTGGCCGCCAGTGGCTTCGGCCGGCGCGGTTATGTCGGCGACACCAGCATCAGCTGAGTCGAACTCGGAGCAAGGTGCGGCTTCTTCATCTGCAACCGCACCAGCTTCGTGAGCAGCGGCTGCGATTCTGCCAAGCTCATCGTCAGCTTGCCGACCGTCGTCGTCCTGAGCCTGCTTCATTATGTTGGCCGATGTTTGGCTGGCGATGCAAACCTCATGCACCCCGTCTTCAGGATTGGCTTCTTCAACTGGCGCTTCTTCACCAGGGGCCACATGCTCAGTGCCAGTTGCCAGGTCAGCTTCAGCTTCTGAATCCCTGGTCTCTTCTTCCTTTTCGGGAGCTTCCGAAGCTCCCATGGCAGCTTGGACGCCTTCTTTGCTGTCGCCTTCGTTCTCCTCACTGGCCTCGGTCGTCGAGGCGGAGGAGGGGTGGGCACACGACTCGCGGCCGGGGCACAGACCCCGCCCGGGCTCTCAAAGGCTGGAACCCGTGGCAGATGTGGCAGATCTCGTCCTCTTAACCACAATCGTACGATCACTACATATCAAACCATGGCGCATGCGCCGCGTGCGCGCGTGCGCCTGGGGAGCACTTCACCGGACCGTCTTCAAGCAAGGCCCTGCAGAGTCTGCATGCTTGAGAAAGTTGGACAACAACAACCCTTTCTGCCCGTGCTTGGTGTCGCACAGCCACTGACCAGTCGGGTCTGCTGCCAGCGTCTTACGAGGGTCCTCTCCGCATTTCAGGTCCAGGTTTGTCTTGCCACGTCACGTCCGCCGCCGTCCTCGGGCACCCACCTGGCAAGGATGGCAGCCAACTTTGTCTAAAACGAGAAAGAGGGAGGCAACAGCTCTGAGTTACACCAAGCGTGACGCCACAGGTCTACCCGTGGCCACGGTTTTGTTTCAGGCCCTTTGCTGCTAGCTGCCGACCAGCCCAGGTCATCTGGCGGCCGATGATGCCAGATCAAATCGCAGAACCCGCGCCCCGGTAGCACCAGTGTGACAGCTTTTGTGCGACATGATGCTCTCCACGGATTGCACGAAACCCCCGCAGGACAGCTGCTCGGGCTAGGCACCTTTAGTTTTTGGTCCAGTCAAGTCTCTATGTCAGTCTATGTCCCCGAGGCCTGGAATCAGAGTAGGGAAGGCTGGGCCATGGCAACTGGATCTGCATGGACCACGACTGCTCGGCTGCGGTTCACGAGTTCACGAGAGCTTGAGGAGGACCAAATGTTGGAAGCGAGAATGCAGCGGAACAATCATCGGGACAATACAATCAGCCGGTGCGACTCGATCTTCTCTCCTCCGTCCAGCATGTCCCAATCATCCTGCAAGAATGTCTGGCAAGCTGTAGTAGTAGCAAGAGAACTTAGCAGAAAGGAGCTCCTCCAGTTGCCAACCGCATTCATCGTCAGAGTCGCCCGGTCTCTGCCTCCGATCCTGCTTGCAGTGCAAAGGCCAAGCTGCAAAGGGCCCTCCCTCCCTCGGCGCCGGCGCCTGCTCCTGTCGCCAGCATACGAAAGCTGAGAGCTCCTCGAGAGAAACCTGGCATCGTTGTTCCGAAGCTCGCAGGCCCTGGGCCTGTGCCTTCGCCCCCCGGTTCCTCGGCGTAGCATCGCTGGTCCATGTCCGAAATCTCCTGGAAGACCGCCAGGGGCCCATGGTCCTCCAGCAGTGACAGCCCCGAGAACGGGTCTCCAGAAGAAAGGCTCCTCGCTGCTTTTTTGAATGGTTTGTAAAGACTCGAGCGAACCAGCACTCGCAGCACTGCAGCTACCAGCACCTCTGCCATGCAGCTTCGCTGAAGGCAAAAGGAGCGGATTGGCCTATGTTGTACATTTCCTCAAGGAGCAGCCGAACTTTGAGAGTCAGCTGAAGCCTGAGCCGTAAGATGGAAGCAATTTCAGCAGCTGCAGTCTCAGCTGCAGTCCCTTCATTGAGTCGCTGCAGCTGCTTAGACTTGCTGCTGCTGATCTTGAACATGTGCATCCGGCAGCAGCTCCGAGGGCACTCTGACCTCGCGTCTCCTCACAAGCCACTCAGGGAAAGCAGAATCTACTGGAAACGGCAACTTTGAAACACATCATCTGGCTACGATGCGGCATGTGTATTGTGCACCCCTTGCGGCAGTCTTGATTCCACGCAGCTGCTGGCGGCGATGACGCCGTCTGCTGTTGATTTCGACCAGTGTCAGGGTGCCCTGGCCACAATGGCCAGCCACCTCCGGAGCGACTCTAACTCATCTAAGCCTGCCCCGGCTCGCCCTCAAACGCTGCATCCTTACAGAAAGCTCATACTTGGAGATCCAGGTCGAGCAGACGAAAGCTTGACAGGACTTCATGTTTTGCAGGAAACATTGACATGAAGATTGGACCAGGCTTCCTATGGGCTAGGAAGATGACAACCCAACAAAAACCAACCCCACAGTCATTTTCGTGGCGCCAGCAAAGTGTAAACTGGCTTCACATCGGCACGACTTCCCGAAATGGCACCGTGCCTTCATTATCAAATCCGTGAGAGTATATTCACCCTCGAACGTTTCCATGTGCGCCACGTTTTTCACGGCGTTCATAATGTCCTTGGCCGCATCCGACTGCCGCGGTTGACATAGTTTGCCGTGGCGCGATCCGCTAACCTGCTCGGCCTCGCGCCACATGGTCCAGTTGCCCCGTGCCGGTCCTGATGCAGGCACAGAGCCCGGCAAGGTCAGCAAGGTCTTTGGAGTCAGCCGGATCATGCTCAGTCCGGGGCCTGTCCAAAGCCTGGTTCGCACAGGTTCGCAGGCTCAGAGACAGGAAGACCAATAAAACTATCCGGCATTCTCTGCCGTGCAACTGTTCTTACTTGCACCTCACGCGCCCACCCGCACACGCACGCACACGCACGCACACGCAGACAAGTGAATTAAATCAATAAACGCCGTAGTCAACAGCAACAACAACATGCCTTGATCTCTTCTGGATCGATGCGGCCATTGTGATCTTTGTCAAGAAAGGCCTTGATTGGAGTGCCATGAGCCATGCATCGCATCTCGTAGAAAAAAAAGTCTCCCTTTTTGCGGAGAAGAGGCCCAGATCCTCACCCAAACTTTCTCGGCCCAATAGTGTAGCAGCAGGGAGTGCCTGAATCGGATCTTCAGACCAACTCAGACCCAACCCAAGAGGCCTTTTTTTGGGCCCTGGTGCACGGGGATGCCAGACTCCGGGTGCGGCTTGGCACTGGGGGTCTCCGCCCAGTAAGCCGCAATGCCTTTGATAAGCTGGATGCCGAAGCGCCTGTGGGCAAAGGGCAGCAAAGCGCAAGTCCCAGCTCAAACCTTTTCCGCCACTGGAGCCTGCTGGTGCCAACACGGTACATGGCATCGGGTTCCAGGGCTTTGCCTGCAACCTTCTGCACCTGGCCGTCCGCATCCACCTGTCCGATCTTTCTATGTGCAGGAGGTCAGAAGTGTGATAGGAAACGATGCGTCAGACCTCCAGCTGATCGTCGTGCTGCATCCAAGCCCCACTGATGCTCTGCCAGGTTTCCCGGAGACCGGACTGGATCAACTTTCCCGGCACAAGAGCCACCACAATCTCAACAGACTCGTCCATCTCAGACATTAAGTCCTGGAGAACAGTTGAAGCCCTTGCATGTCTTGCGAGCGGCGGTCTTTGCGCTGCGCGGCTCTTGTTGATGATGACTGTGATGCTGGCTGGTAGTGATCATGATGCTGACCATGTTCTTGAACGCGATGATGCAAGCGCGATCGGGACGACGACGATAACAATAACTTGTTACTAGTACGGCATCGACGTTGTCGGGTCCTCCAGAGACATGTGCTCGGTCTCCTTGTAGTCTCGCTCCCCACGGAAGTTGCCACCATTGATAAGGACGCAGTCGCAATGGGGGCTTCCCTTCCCAGAGCAGTAGGCAGGGATGCTTCGGTACTTGTCTTTGCGCGTTTTAGAAATGCCAGTGGGCTGACTATAAGTGACTATAAGCAAGTGTGGTCGCAAAAAACCTCACAAGACTAAGACACTCTGCCAGTGACAGGACCCCCCCATGCCTGCCTCCAAGCAGTCCAGATTCAAGGCGTTCCGAATCCTGCCACAAACCAAGTCAAGCACTGCCATTCCCAAAGTGCAGCCCTGGCTGCCCGACTCACTGCAAAGGAAGCGCGCGCTTGTCCTGGATGCGAGGCAGGCAGCAGCTTGCATGGCTCTGCAACAACGGCACTTCTGTCTACAATGCGAACAGGCTTGACCGTGTAGCTGAGGTGTCGTCGTACAACACCCACGCGAGTTCACAGAACTCAAGGGACGATAGGCTGCTGGCACCTCAGTGCTGAGGAGCATTGGGCCCATGCGAAAGCTACGACCGGCACTGCCTTGACTATCTGCGTACAGCGGAGGTGATCCAGCCTCAGCTCCGAAGAGGCAAAGGCACAAAGACCAAAACAGAGACAGAGCGAGAGAGAGAGAGAGAAGGAACGAGTAGCGACTGAGGGACTGCACGTAAATAAAACGGGACCCCGGCGTGGAGTAGACCTCTTGGACGGAGGCGGCCTCATCAGTCTGCAGAAACAGCAGAGGGGGCAAGTCAAGCATCCTAGGCCGCAGGCCTATCGGTCTGTACGGGTCTTTGCGAGAGTGAAAGTGCAAGCTTCGAAACATACGGTTTATTTGTGGAAGCTTTCTGATTCCTGACTTTACGTCCCCTGGGGCGTCGGCCAAGGAGGCGTTGGGCGTGAAGTCCTTGAGGTCCAGCAGCTGCGCCGAGAGGCGCAAGGGTGCGTCGGGCCCGGGGTGGTCCCAGACGAGGTCGAGCTGTATGCAGAAGCGAGCATCAGAGCCCGGCTTCAGGAGCCTCAACTCTGAAAAGGCAGAAGAAGCTCCGTGGGTCTGGGCCTTGCGGCTTTTCTGAGCCTGGGGCCGTGTGCCGCTGATCGTTCGATCAACCACATGGTGGTCATGGCCAGAGAGGATCACAGGGAAGTCGAAGTTGCGGCAAGTGATCTCATCTTGGGACTCGTAGAGATGGCAGAGCGGCACCACGAGGTCGCACTTCTGCTCCTTCTCCAACTTTTCCTTGTAGAAGGCCAACCTTGCAGCAGTCGTTTCGTGTGCCCTGATGCAGGTGTGTGAAGTCTGGTTCAGAGAAGAGCTTTCCAAAAGCATTTAAATCCCAATCCATGTCAGAGCTGCGTCTTCCAGGGATCCTCGATGGTGGCACCACCAAATGCGCCTGGTTTGTACAGGGTGGCCTCGTCGCTGAGCACTCCCACGAGCCCAATCCGGCGCGAGTTCTTCCCGCCGCGGCTTCGTACCTCCAGAACCTCTACAGCCTGCTGGCAGTGGCACTTGTCGAAAGACCTTATAGTCGCAGTCAGGGGACAAAGAGCGTCTCTGCCTTCTACAGAACCTTGCTTGCCGCCAAGAGGCTCGTGCGACTGCATGTTGCTGTTGATCCACACCTTGCCACTGAGGTCAGAGCCATGCTGCCCATGCCGAAAAGCTCCACACACTTTGGATGGCCTGCAGGATGTCTTAACTGCAGCTGCGTTGCGCCTTGGTACTCCTCCACGCGGCACATGACGTCCTCATGGGAGAGATCGGCCTCGTGGTTCCCCCAGGTCACGTACCTGTCGACCCGGCGCTGCCGCGTGGGGCACCAAAAGGCCTTCTTGGTTTTTTCCGCCCAAGGCTGAGCCGAGCACTGGATGGGAGTTTCGTTCAACATCCGGACCATCCCAGAGCCGCGGTCAATGCTCGACAGCAGGTACGGGGCCAGAAAGTCCTTCGCACGGAGCTGATCTGAGCCCGTCAAAAGGATGCTTCCCGCTGTGCTGCCAAAGATCGCCAGTGAGCACGGAAACACAGCGCGATGCTCCTTCACACTTGGCTTCAGAAAAGGCTTCAGAAGTGGCTTGCTTGTAGCACACTTGGGACCTCCGTACTCCGCTTTGAGCTCCGCTTCCTGTCGCATGTTCGTCAACAAAGCAACCGCCGGAGTCCAGGGGTCCAAAGGCACCATGCCTTCTCGGCAATGAGAGTCTTCATGCTCGGGAAGTTCTCGAGCACATAGACATCCTTGTAGCTCGTTTCAGTGGAGCTCACGGATGCATGTCAAGTCCCGGTCGCTTGGACGGGGCTTCGTTAGGATTGCCGCGCAAAACGCTGCCCGAACTCCCACCCTTGATGCGCAACTGGCCGAAAAGGCGCAAAAAGCAAATGTCACAGTGCTCTCGCTAGCTGCTAGCTCTGGGTAGGCTGCTCATTGTGGTGCCCGGACATCTTTGCTTATGATCTCCGAAGATCCGCTGCTAGACTTCGTTGGAGTACAAGCTTCAGTGATCTGCAGGATGCGAAGCGCACAGGGGTCCGGTGCAGACTCTGTGGGCGCTGCTGACTTGGTTTGCCCGGCACCTTGAGATCATGTCAGCTTCAGTCGTGTTCTATGGCCTATGGAGCATGTCGCTTGGAAGCGTGCTGCTCGCACTGCTGCTGCTGCTGCTGCCGGTGGCGAAGACAGCGTCCAGGAAGCCATGGATGTCCAGATCGGGACTCGTGGGCAAAAGAGTGGCCACCTCCTCGGGTCGTCCACCCAGCTCCTGCAACACCTGACAGTGTTGCGATATCTGTGCTGAACCTACAGTACTCACTTCGCCTGTTCTACTTCCCGCCTGAGCCCAATGATCGTGGCGGAAACCACTGGTATCGACGCCTTGCAGGACCTGCAAAGCCGAAGAATCGTTCAACAAACTCAAGCCGGGCCCTACTATCACACTGCGTGCTCGATGTTGTAGCACAGCAGGTGGCCTCTTGCACCTTGGCCCTTGCTGCTGCAGCTTGCATCAGCCTCTCCAGGCCCTCGTCGCGACTCGAAGCTCCATGCCGGAAGCCTAACTTCTCAGTCGCACGGATGTGCTCGGCTGTGAATGTCGGCGGAAGCAAATTCCAGTCTTGATTAGAAGGAAATCATACAGCGAGAAGAGCCCAGCGAGCAGTGCTCGGGGCAAGCTGCAAGTCCTGAATTTCCTCATAGAGCTCTCTGATGATATCGGCCTCCTCTGTGTCACCTCCTGCTGCAAGGCTTCAGCCGGCTTCGCTAGAACACGTCAGACAAAAACATGCTACAGCAGACCCCACCGCGCATGTTTTGAAGGCAGCTGCAGCTGCCACAACAGCAACTTTGGCTGGCAAATGATGGCAAATGGCTGCGGAATGAGCTGCTGCCAGCGTCGAGCTCCTTGTGCCTCTCCAGAAGACAGGCACGGGGTACGAGGCTCGGGACTGTGAGCCTGGAGCCATGTCGCCGTTGCAGCGGTTCATGCGATCACCTTAGTGGCAAAGCTTTGGTGCTCTGAGGCCTCTGAGGCCAGAAGTCGGAGAGGGCTTCGAGCTGACACGAAGTGGAGGCCCACATCACCCAGCCTGCGCAGGGCTGGGCCCCAACGGCCACTCGGCGGAATGCACATCACTCCCTGCCTCAATGATTCGGATTTCAATTGCGTGCTGTTGCACCTTTCGCACAGACACCAAATTTGGCAGGAACAGGAAACAGCCCCATTCTCTACTAGCAGCACACACTAAAAGCGGCTGAGGCTTCACTGAACACCGGCACACTGACACGGAACCGCACCCCAGCCTTCGGAGAAGAGTCCGAAGCCGCCGAGGCCTGTCCCAAGAAGGCCGAAAGTCGAACAAGCGGCCGTTGGCTTTTTGGGGGCCGGGCCCTCTCGGACTCCGAGCTGGACTCCGAAGGTGACCTCCTAGTCACAGCGCCAAGGCCTCGAACCGCCGCGAACGACAAAAACCGACTCAAAATCGAATCGGTCCGCTCTAGGCACTGTAGGGCTTTTGGATCTTTGGTCGCACTTTCCTTGTTTGATGACTTCCTTTTGCTTGGCCTGCGCGCAGCTGGCGGATGGCGGCGCCCGTGGAACGAAGCAGATCTGCAAGCACAGGCGAACTCGGAACACCGGGTGTCCTAAAGGAGCACTAGACTCACTCGCTGCCACTAGCTGCAACTGTAGGTTCACTCATGGTAGACTGATTGAAACAAATCCATATTTGTATATACATATATATATATGGTAACCCGCCCTATTGACCCACATGTCCTTCTTAACTATATGTATCTGACCATAATGGGGGAAGCAAATCCCTTCAGTAAGAAAAATACTGCGTGGTCTGACACATTTCTCGCAAATTGCAAACTAACGCGGCCCTTCGGTCTAACCAAGTAACCAAACTTGAATTACCAAAAACAGCACAAAAAGCTAAGCAAACTAAAAATGCAAAGCAAACAAAACAACCAACAACGCAAAAACAAAAAACCTATGTGAGGATATAGAGTTTGTTTTTGGTTGTGTTGGTGTGTTTTTCCCTTTTTGGTTTTGGTTGGGGACCTGCTACTCCACGGTTGTGCTGCTGGTTTGCCGCGTAGCATTGCTCCACACAAGGAATCTCCATGTAGTCTTCCTGTCTCGTGCGATGCACGAGAAAGTTGTCAACTTGTTGTTAATTCGTTTTTCGCTGCAATTTGAAACTTCGAGCAAAACACTGCAAGTAAGTGGTTTCTGCCAAGCTAGTTCCACAATAATGAAGGTGGTGGTCGCTTGTTGTTGCTTCTATCTACGTATTTGTATGTATATATGTATGGCATATGTATCCATGTCTATATACTTTCATGCTGTAAGACATATGCAGCATGTATGCAAATCTGGCTTTAGTCATGTAGGTACCCGTTTCTTCTTAGGTGTGTCCATATGTATCTAGATTGTTCGTACAAGCGCTTCCACAAAGGTATACATCATGGAGAGATATATGAGCAAACATTGAACATGGTTACCCGCAATACTGCACATTACGTATGCTCCCCTGACAACGCTGATTCTAGATAGACATTATGAGTTGTTCTTGTGTGTATGCACTCGTACTGAACGTATACATTACAAAAAACAGCTTGTATAAATGCTACCAACATTTCCGCATGTGCTGTATATGTATATGCTGTATATAAACGCTCGTAGAGCCCCCCGTGCTTAGGAGGGGGAGGGGCAGAAAACGTAGATTACAACCCGCACTCCCCCGCCGATGCGAATGCGTCAACTGTAGGATCCCACTTCTGGGTCTACGTTTTGCAGCTACCTCGTACGGGGCAAGCCACGCATACCCCTGCTTGTTTCTGCTGGGACGGACGCTGGCAGGCAATTGTAGGAAAAACATGTCCTACAATCCGCCGAGGCCGCCGGCCCAGGCGTCTTGGGGGAAACCTCAAGTACCCTCCACCTAATCCTCCTGTCTGCAGTGCATCCCTCTTACCCCCCCCCTCTTCCTGCCCCCGCTCATCTTCCCTGCTCCCCTCCCCCCGCCTTCCTTTCCTGCCCTGCCCTCTCCACTGCTTGGGACCAGCTTGGCTAAGGTAACAGGCAGGTAACATTTGAAGAGGCCGTCGGTGCAGTAGAAACACCACGACGCTGTGTTCCCAAATGCAGCTTCTAGCCTACGGTCATGTCACGCAAATCGGTTCTGCTGCAGCCGCTGCAGCCAGCGATCCAGGCATTTGGCGGCAAGTGCCTGTCGTCAGGTCATCTGTGTGCCGGTTGGTTTTGGAGCGCAAGCGTCAGGATAGTTGCACCGGGCTTTCTCACACATTCTCACGAAAACTCAAAGCAACTATGGACAGCGCCGTGTGTGCTGACCACAAGCTTCCTGTTGTCCACACATTGCTGCCGAAGACTTAATGCACCGTAATGCATGCGGCTTTTTCTGCTATTGTAACCGCCCATATTCTTCGCAATGCCCGGTTTGCGTCTATAGCCCAGGTGCTTGTCCAAGTTCAGCGATGGTCATGACAACATATGGCCAGGCAGGGTTTTACTGGGAGTGTTACAGTAAGCAAGGTTGGCAATTTAGGCTCCTCCTTTGCAGAAATTTTGCTGTGTTTCAATGGTGTCTGCAAAACAACGCAGCCACGCGACGAAGTGACGACGTTTGGTCGAATGCAGCTGCTAGTCTACAGTCATGTTTGCAAAGGCTGCAGTTCATTTTTGCGTTCGCCAGAACTTCCGCTGCGTCGGTGCTGCTTCAGCTGCTCGTACTCAGCGAACGTCAACATGTCGCATCCTGGGAACGGCTGCTCACCAAACTGTCTTGGTGCCATTGGGCCACAAGACCGACACAGAAGTATAGCTGTTGCGACTGCGTTGCATTGCGCACACGGCTGCTCACCACGCGGCGGCACTCTTTCGCCGACAGCTGCGGCAGCTCCCGTGCCAAAACGGTCCAACTTGGCAGCTGCTTGCCTGCCTGCACGCCACAAACATTCGCAGCATGCACGCCGAACAAGCCCCGACAGTGCAGCCCAGGGTCCCAGGCACCAGCTGCTGCTCTAAAACCAGCAGCCGCAAGCCCATGCTCTGCAAGAAGTACTCAACGTCTGCGAGCAACAAGCGCGATCCGCCCTGCAGCGCGGCACAGCTCCGTGCGTGCTCAGTGTGCCTCCGGCCTCCCGCCTGCTGCGCTATCAGCTTCCGCTTGGCCGCGTGCACCATACAGCGCTGCGAGTCCACCAAGCGCCACGAAAACTGCTGCCGCAAAGCTCTCACGGTCAGCTGGCCTTACCAGAACGGAAAACGCGGCCCTGATCCTCTGCAACCTGGTTCCGACTGCCGCGCCTGGTTCCGTCGCGCCTCCAATGTAGGTGCGCAGTGCAGCTAGCTCCTTCGCGGCGCGCTCCAGCCG